GAAGGAACCAAGCTGTCTTTCAGTAGGTGAATGGATACATCCAGACAATGGAATATTATTCATCATTAAAAAGAAATGAGTTATCAAGCCATAAAAATATATGGAGGAACTTTAAATGTATATTACTAAGCAAGAAGCCAATCTGAAAAGGCTACATACTGCGTGATTCCAATTCTGACATTCTGGTAAAGGCAAAACCAAGGAGGCAGTAAAAAAAAAATCAGTGGTTGTCATGTATTGGGAGCAGGGATGGATGAAAAGGTGGAGCACAAAGGCTATTTGGAGTAGTAAAACTATTCTGTATGATACTATAATGGTGGCTACCTGTCATTATGCATTTGTTAAAGCCCATAGAATGTACAACACCAAAAGTGAACCCTACAGTAAAGTACGGACTTTGAGTGATGATTCATCAATATTTGCTCATCAGTTGTAAAAATATACAATGGAGAACTGGGGGGAGATGTTGGCAGTGGGGGAGGACATACATACATAGGGGAAGGTATATATGGGATCTCTTTGTGCTTTTTCTTTTTTTTTAAGATTTTGTTTATTTATTTGATAGAGAGAGAGAGAGATCACAAGTAGGCCAAGAGGCAGGCAGAGAGAGATGGGGAAGCATGCTCCCTGCTGAGCAGAGAGCCCCATGCGGGGCTCGATCCCAGGACCATGAGACCCTGGGACCATGACCTGAGCTGAAGGCAGAGGCTTAACCCACTGAGCCACCCAGGTGCCCCCTCTTTGTGCTTTCTGCTTCATTTAGCTGTGCATTTAAAATTACCCTAAAATATAAAGTCTAAATAGAGGAAAATAAATTTTGAAAGTATGTTAATAAAATTTAGGTTCATATTGACCTTCCTGGTTATGGCCTTAATTTCTATTTAAAAGAATATTGATCAACATTATGAGACTCTTACTTACAGAGATTTTCCATAAATAATTTTGATAGAAAATCATATAAATAGGATGTATGGGAAGGCATTCTTTTTACAAAAGAATTTGTTACAAGAGTCTAGTTTTGTAAGCAAACCTTTCTACTTAGTATTGTTATGTGTTGTCATACCTACATATTAGGTAGAAAAAATAGCTAAACCAGAACTAAGCAGTTCTGTTTAACTGTAAGCTACTTTGCATATAGTTACTAAATGATCACCTATAAATCACGTTAAGTCTGACACAGCCCAAAATACAGCATCTTAGCGACAAAACAGGTAAGAGACTCTTCTTCAGAGTAGCCCACAGGGGGAGAATAGGAACATGGCCTTTAAGAAAATTCCCAGGCACAGTTGATACATGATGAATTTTATGAGCTGAATATTCCATTGTCTTAAACTATCACCTATGTCCACATGTTAAAGGGTCTGGATTTTGCTGGTGATTAGATCTTCTGGAAACGTGGGAAGTGTTTGGTTTGGAGATCAGGAGTCCTAGGTTCTGACCCCTGCTCAGCTGCGTGCTCTGCAAGCTTAGCCAACTCACAGCGTATGAGGGATTGGTTAAGAGGATTTCTAAGATTCCTGCCATCCCTAACATTCCATGAAGCAATTATATGTGCAGTTGTAGCTTTGTGGTTTTTGCATGCTAAATATTTTTAGTATCTTTGGAAAGTTGAGGTTCTTATGCTCAGCAGCACTACCGGAATCTTAGGATTTTATCTTTAAGGCCTCATCATTTATTTCCCAGAAAACAGAAATCCAAGATTTTTCCAGGATAGGTGCATTTGTTAGCTGTGCATGTATCTGGAGCTGCCAAGTCCCAGCACCAATAGTCTGTATTGCTTTCTTTTAAAAACTTGTATTCAATCTCTACAAACACTCCCATCCTCCACTGGGCTTCCTATCTTGATTCTCTTCTTTACTGCCTTTTTCATTCTATCACTCTGTTGTGTTGTGATTAGATGTTCTTCTTTGGTTAAAAGACGATCATATTTAAATGCTACTACAATGATTGGTGAACTTTTGGGAAATGCTCAATAAAAAAAAGCTTCTCATCGGTGTGTCTACAGAGACACTAAGCTTTTTTTCCCCCAAGAATTATGCATAGTCTACTTAAAGCCTAGAAACTTTTAAGCACCTGTGGCCTATATGTATATTACTCAGATTTCATCTGGATCAAGGTTTAAGACATTAAAATGATCTGTCAGGATAAAACTATACCCAAAGAACTCTGGTGTGTGATTGGCTTTGCTGACATCTGCTTTGCATTTTGATACTCTGTTGTGCCAGGTCTGGCTTGTTAAACGCCATAGGCAGAAATCAGGCTCTGCTGTTCTCAGAAATGTAGAAATACAGGCTCCATGCCCATTGTGCCATCAAATTGTAGCTTCTGCTATACCTGTTCTTGATGTCTTAACGCCTGGAATTCCTGCCTTGGGAATTTCCTGACTTTTCTCTCAACAACTTTTTATTTTTGACAGAATCTTGGCTAGTTTTTAATCTTCTAGAGATTTTTGTTTTGAGTTAATTATTTTAGGCCATTTGGTCAGTAATTTGGAATCTTTCCTTTCTTGTTCCTTCGTTTTGATCTTTGTTTTTTTTTTTAAGATTTTATTCATTTATTTGACAGACAGAGATCACAAGTAGGCAGAGAGGCAGGCAGAGAGAGAGGAGGAAGCAGGCTCCCTGCTGAGCAGAGAGCCCGACGTGGGGCTCGATCCGAGGACCCTGGGATCATGACCCAAGCCGAAGGCAGAGGCTTTAACCCACTGAGCCACCCAGGTGCCCAGATCTTTGTTTTTGTTTTGTTTTGTTTTTTTTTTTAAATGATTTTATTTATTTGAAAGAAGAGAGGGAACAAGAGCAGGGGGAAGGGGAGAAGCAGCCACCATGGGACTCCGTCCCAGGACTCTGGGATCATAACCTAAGCTGAAGGCAGATGCTTAACTGACTGAGACACCCAGGTGCCCCTGTTTTGATTTTTAATTGCACATTTCACATTTATCTCATTCCCCACCCTACCCCACCCCCATCCCCAAACCCCTATGAGGAAGAGCTTTGCCTGGTATTTTTTTACTCCTTTCATTTTTGTCTTTCAGCAGCCATACTAGATAGGATAGGCTTTTTCATACTTTCCTTTAAAGTAATACACTTCATCGTGCTTGAATTCTGGGGCTTAGAAGTTGCTCCACACATTACGTAGTGGGGCTGCAGGTTGTTGCTGTGCTCAGGTAGAGAAGCAAGGGAAAATGTTATCTGATTTTGCTCATAAACAGGGTTGGGGGGAGGAGTATGGCCTCTTTTTCTCTACACATGCCAAGCATAGAGGTCAAGCCTTCATTCTTAAAAATGCTGAAAAATCACATCCTGAGGAATGAACAGAAAGATATATTTCCCTCTTTCCTGGAGGCCCCCAGGAAGATTTCATGTTGCTTTTCCATTTTAGGTATGGTTCTCTCTCAACAAATATGCTTTGCATACATCAATGTTTGATTTTTCAGTGTTAGGGAAAATATAAACCAGGTTTTTCTGGAAGGTGCAATTTAGAAAAGGACACTGCACAAGTATTCATCTGTAAAGAAAGGAAAGAGGAAAAGAACTAATGCCTGTACATTTTTTTTTTCATTTGATCTTAACCACTCTGCAGAATAGTTAATACCTCAGTTGATCATAGGAAAAAGGTGAAGCTCAGAAAGGTTAAGAAACTTGCTTAAGGACACACAGCTAGAAAGGAGCAAAGCCAAGATTAAAACTCAAGGGTATTATAACTGAAAGAAAACTGTTCTTTTCCTACAGCATTACCCTGTCTCGCAATTAACTGGCTGAGTTGCAGTATCCCTGTAAAATCTGTTGTGGTTTTATTATTATAATCAAATGCAAAAAGTAATGGTGGTTTAATCAATGAGGTGCATGAAGACCTATTCAGAAAAAATGACTATCTTGGTGTGGGAACTCTTGGGGTGTCATGCTTTATCCTTATGTTCAATGGACAAAAAACCCTAAATAGATATACTTCATTCAATATATTTGAAGTTCTGTGTAAGTAAAAATATGTAAATTGACTGTTTTTAAATTTAGGGAGTTCCTTATTCAAAGGATCTTAAATTGCATTTTTTTTAAAGATTTTATTTGTTTATTTGACAGAGAGAGATCACAAGTAGACAGAGAGGTAGGCAGAGAGAGAGAGAGAGAGAGGGAAGCAGGCTCCCTGCTGAGCAGAGAGCCCGATGCGGGACTCGATCCCAGGACCCTAAGATCATGACCTGAGCTGAAGGCAGCAGCTTAACCCACTGAGCCACCCAGGCGCCCCTTAAATTGCATTTTTAAGAGCCAAAGTTTCCTTTCTTATTTTATTTTTGGTTTTGCCCCTGGCATATCAGGTATCATTTAAGAAGGCTATCCCCGTGAGATTGCATGATCATTAACTCCTTTGTAACGTTTCCAACATGTATTTGAATATTGTGGTATTTCAGTGTTTCCCAAACTTTAATTATTTGCATGCACTTTCATGGTCTTCATTATCTGCGTTCCACCTGTACTCTTATTCACTTACTATTTTTCTTTAAGTAATGCATTTTGCTCAAGTAGATGTATTTTTAAAAGAAATTTTTGTGTCATTCCCCTAAGTGTGAAATCAGTATAATTCAAAATTAATAGCAATCAACAGCAAACCATTATTGAATTCTAGATAGATAGTATCATTTGTTGAAGACTTCCATCTGAGGAGGATCAGAAAGCATTCAGGAGTGTGGAAGACCCTCTTACACGACTAAAGCTGTATCTTTGTAATCACCAGGATTGAAAGAGTTGAAAGGAGTTAATGAGTCAATTGACAAAGTGAGTCAGTGTTATTTAATGCTGTTTCTCTGTACCATCAAGAAATCGTCTCTTTTACTACCCACAGCGTATTGTAACCTCATATCATTTCCAAAGTAAGCTCAGAAACTAGTCATTAAAGCACAGAAAGCTTTAAAACATTGATCTCTGAGAAAGTGAACGGTACTGCTCTCTCTTGATCTGGCCAAATAAATCAACTTGGTTTGTTTCCAGGCTAAGGAGGAAACGATGGACAATCGAAGCTACTTGAATCTGCCAGAAAAGCTGCCTGCCTTCTCTGATTCTGCCCACTTGCCACTGACCAGGTCCTTCTATCTGGACCCCATGGTCACTTTCCACCTGTATCCTGATGCCCCAGTGCCATCCCCTTACTCTGAAGACCTGCCATTGCTGTCTTTTCCCAGTGATTCCCTGATCATGGAAAATTATGGTGAACCCTGCCCCTTCTCCTTCCCAGTGCCTTATCCAAATTACAGAAGGTGTGAATACTCCTATGGGCCGGCCTTTATCCGGAAAAGGAATGAGCGGGAAAGGCAGAGGGTAAAGTGTGTCAATGAAGGCTATGCCCAGCTCCGACATCATCTGCCAGAGGAGTACTTGGAGAAACGACTCAGCAAAGTGGAAACCCTCAGAGCTGCTATCAAGTATATTAATTACCTGCAGTCTCTTCTGTATCCTGATAAGGCGGAGACAAAGAATAACCCAGGGAAAGTTTCCTCCATAATGGCAGTCACCAGCCGCCACCCTGACCCCATTTTTAGAATCATTTGATTCAGTGTTTCTGAATAGAAACAAATAATTTCACAAAATGGAGTCTCTTACAGCATCATTCAGTAGTTTTTCTTAAGTGTAATTTCTGCATAGGGAGATAACAGCTCAAAAGTCCACCTGTGCTGGGTATTTCCTGACAGAGTTTCAGATGTACTGAACATGATCTTATGGGCATTGAAGAGATGTGTCTTAAGCTTTGGTGATTTCTTTTAAGAACTTTAGAGGGGCAGGAGTCCCCAGGATTCTCTATACCCCTCACCTTGCCCTTCTCACACACTTGGCCAGAGTCTCAGCTGTGAGAAACCCTCACGAGAGTATTGTAAGATCTGATCAATGAGTAATCAATGCTTGTAATGCCCTTTGCAAACACTTCGTGCTAAGTGATCACAATGAACCGCCCTTGATTTGTCAAAGTCTGGTAGTTTTTATTATTATAATTTGGGGTTGACAAGGGATATCTACATCTATACCCTATCCACATCATGATGGGAAATGTCCCGGGGCTGAAGCAAAGGTAGCTAACAAAATCTTGTCATTTGAAATTATTTTGGAGTCCTCTTTTTCCTGCAGGCAGACTTCCTCACAGCAGCTTAATCTGGGGGTTAAGAAGGCTGTGCAGTTTAAACTGCCTCAGTTTAAACTATGACTCTGGTCGCTCCTCTCCATGTCTCAGTTCTTCATCCACAGAACGAGAATAATAACAACGGCAACTATTCCCCCCTATGTTTATTAGAAGAATTAACACTACCTGATACATAAGTATTCCTAACCATTTATTATTATTATTATTAATCTTGTATTATCCATAACATCACCATTCTATAGGTTCTTCTGGCCAGAAAATGTGCAGGGGCCACACCTGTCCTTCACCCTGTGAAGGACCCTCACTGCCCCATATCTTGAAGTCTGCCTTCAAAATGTCTCTATTTCCATTCCCATGACTAGTGTCAGCTCTTCCTTCTCCCTTAACTCCCAGGTCCCATCGGTCGCCAAGCCCAGTCAAGACATCCCATACACTGGCACATTCATCTCCACTATCATCTCTGTGAAGTCTTCCCATTCCAGCCATTACTTGTTCCTTTATTTTGTACACATATTTCCTCACAGTTCCTATCCTACTATCTTTACACACGGTCTCACACACCTATCTCTTTGTAGACAGGAGCCAGTTTTATTCCTCCTATATTCCTTGCACCCAGCAAAGAGCCTCAAATCAGGTAGATGTTGTGGGTAAATATTTGGTGTTCCTATTTTCCTATTCCAGTCCTGTCACGGTTTATCTGGGTCACATCTGTCTGCACAGGATGGAGGCAGATCACTAGCCCTTAGTTTCTGCAGCTGCCTCCCTCACAGGACTCCCCTGGGATTCATGAGGACTTCCCACCTCTTCCAGCAGTGGGGAAGCCTGAGCTTTGAGGAATCGAGGCTGCGAGGACCCTTCTCTCCAGTGCTCCCAATTCGCCTTTCCCGGGAGAAACCCTCTGCCCCCTTGCCCCGCCCATGCCTCCCAAGCCCCACCCCCTCTCTCTGCACATGCTCAGTACATTCAGTGCGCTGCGTTCCCGCTGGCTCGAAGCCCTGGCAACCTGCTTGGCAACCTGGAGTCAGTTGGGCTGAGACCCTGGGCCCCAACTGTCAGAAGGGGAAGGCTGAGGTGGAAGAGTTTGGGGCCGTGGTAAGTCCCTTCGGGGTCAGACCTGGGGACTTGGGCAGGGGCGGACCCTAACAGAGCTCTGATAGGCTGGGGTAGTGGAGTCAGGTGTGTGGAGGACACGACCCTGGGGTCTCAGCTGGGGCTCGAGTTACTCCTGGAGGTCACTGGATTAGGAAGAGAGTCTGGGGCTTAGATTAGGGGTTAGGCCAGCCATATTTGTGAAGGGAAGTACTGTTTTACCCCCTGGGAGTCCCTACAACTGGGGAGGAGGAAAAAACTAACATATATTGAGCCACTGCTCAGCCAGGTGCTTTCCACTGAAGTGCGTGGTGACGTGAGCACGCAGCCGCAGACTGTGACGGATTTAGAGCTGGGTTTCTCTAAAGTCACAACACTTGTTCTTTCAACCCCTCCCCTACCTCCTGAGCTGAGGTTCCTGGAGCAGGTGATTCAGAGAACAGCCTGAGCTGGAGCACGTGGGGTCGGCTAACCCCAGAAAGGAGCCCTGCACCAGCCAGGCCCTCTCTGCTGGGCTGCGGGCTGCAACTCGGGCCATGGTGGTGCTCATTCTCACCAGGTTTCTCCTCCGAAGGCCATGGAATCCTCTGCAGGGCCTGGGACGCCTTTGGCCAAATACTGCAGTGTGGCGAGGACTCTGAAGTCCCCTTCCTGGACTGGCACTGCCCCTCCCTGGGTACTCTCCTTCACCTGCCCCTTTGCCACCTGGCACAACCCACTCTCCAGGTACTAGTCTCGGCCCCTCTGGCAGCAATGATGTGCACCCCTCTGCACCCCTCTTCCTCTCTCTGCTTGGCTTTCCATGGTGGGCCATGAGGGAGACAACTTGCTTCCTGGGAAGGCTGAAAGGGTTCTTTACGGTGTGGGCTACGATTTGCTTGTGGTGTTCTATCACTCCTGTCTAAACTGTGCTCCTTGTAGCACTGGTAGCAAGGCGGCAGATGTCGGAGTTGGCATATGCAGAGAATGCAGGCATCACCAGTTAAAGAGCCTCTAGCTCATTTTACTGTCAACTACAAGCCTCCCCTGGCACCACGTGAGAAATTAAGGTTTCTGCAACCAAGAGCTGAGGCAAGGTCTCCGGGTGCTCCTCAGGTTCCCTCAGTAACCCGGGTGCTCCTCAGGTTCCCTCAGTAACCCTCAGGGATCCTGGCCTTTCCTGAATTAAATCGTTGGTGGGCTGTCTAAAGTGTGATTGCAGAAGGGAGAGGAAGCTCAGCCCTCAGTCATACACAAGTGATGTCAGTTCCAGAGACTCGCTTGTGTCCATGCCACTCAATTCCGTCTGCCCAGGTTAGGGACATTCCAGCTTCAACCCTTAAGAGCCTGCCTTCTGGATTCACCTATGTGGACCATCTTGTTCAAAGCCAGAGTTCATCATCCCTGCCCCTTCAGGGCTGCCTACAAAGTAAACAGCTTCTTCAGAAACCCAAACCCTGACTCAGTAGTCCTCCCTCACCCCTGCACCTTCCGGTTTGGCCCTGTCCACAAACCTGTCCAGGAACAGCTTGTCCTTCTTCCTGTCTCTCAGCCCCTCGGCCAGCTCCTTTGTGCTTTCCCTGCTCAAACACTTCCTCCTCCCTTCTGACCCCATAGCACCAAACATCCTTCCTGTGTTACTCCTTTCATACTACCATCCAAATGTGCATACCTCATCCTGGATTCCCATGCAGTGCCTTTGGATATCCCTCCCCAGTGCTCTTTCCTGGTCTGCTGTTCAGTCTCAGAACCAGCATTAATTCACTTGAACATATCCAGGCTAATCACATTTTGATGACCTTGAAACAATTCTCAATCCCCAAATGATAGTTCCCTTCACTGTCCTCTCCTTCTGCCCCTTCCAGCAATTTATCTTTTCTTACTGGTGGTCACAGATCGCCAGCAACTGTCTACATGGATTTGTTTCACATGATCCTCTATGTCATATGCACATGGTAGTGCTGCTTAGATCTGCGAGATGCATTTCTTGATGTTTTTAGGGCTTGGTCTTCTCCACCTCCCTAATTCCATTTGCTTTTTCCCAGATATGTGTCTTACCACCCGTGTCTCCACATTGCTGACTCAGCATGGCAGGGGCCTGGCTGGTTGAGAAGAGTGGGAAATGCTGCTGACACATGGGTCCTGGCAAGAAGGGGACCAGATGGCTTTTATTACCGGGCTCAGATAAAGACTGCTCCAGAGGCAAGTTCCTCACATCTCCTGGCACACTCCTCAGGGTGGCTCTGTCAGACCTGCCTAGGCCTCAACTGTGTGTGCCCAGCAGGACAGTTTCTTGGATAAGTGCACATCTTTCACGGCCAGGTTCTAGAAGGGCAATGTAATGATGTATGAGTGGTTTTTTTTTTTTAAGATTTTATTTATTTATTTGACAGAGATCACAAGTAGGCAGAGAGGCAGGCAGAGAGAGAGAGAGAGAGAGAGAGAGAGGGAAGCAGGCTCCCCGCTGAGCAGAGAGCCCGATGTGGGACTCGATCCCAGGACCCTGAGATCATGACCTGAGCCGAAGGCAGCGGCTTAACCCACTGAGCCACCCAGGCGCCCTGATGTGTGAGTGTTTTAATGAATGTATTAATTTGCTGGGGCTGTGTAGCAGGGTAGCACAAATGGGGTGACTTTAAGAACAGAAATGTATTATCTCTCAGTTCTGGGGACTGAAGTCCAGGTGTTGGCCCTGTTGGTTCTTCTGAGGGCCGTGAGGGAGAATCTGCTCTACATGCCTTTTCTAACTAACTTCCTGTGGCTTGTTGACCATCTTTGGTGTTCCTTGGCTTATAGAATCATCACCCCAATCTTTGCCCCACCTTCATACAGTGTCTTCCCTCTGTGCATGTCTGTGTCCAAAGTTCCCCCTTTTTATAGGAACATCAGTCATTGGATTAGTCTCCCACCCTACTCAGCCAAGTATGACCTTATCTTAACTAATTATATCTGCAGTGATCCTATTTCCAAATAAGGTCACAACCTGAGGTACTAGGGGTTAGGGTTCTAACGGATGCATTTGATGGGGGGGATACAACTGAACTTGTGACAGTGAAGAAAATTGAAAGGAAAAAGTGCTCTGTTCAGGAAAATTCAGTGTGTTGTGTGATGGGCACCAGCCAAAGTGAAGGAGAAACAAAACATGCCCACATGCATGTCTCTGTGCCTGTACCCACAGAAGCCTGGTCTCCCACAGGCCTGTGCTTTACTTCCGTGGCTGCTTCCTTCTTTGGGATTTTTCTCTTCTCAGAGTCAGACTTTGTGACTGTGGATTCATGGAGAGAAGACTAGTGTGACTTCCAAAAAATGAATTAGAGAATTTCCATTCAAAAGTCATTTTGTTGTTTTC